TATTTTTTCCAAGCTCATAGATATGAATTAGGCCCATCCTTTTAAAAAAAAAACTTCATGGTGTAGGGATTGACTTCTTTAAAGAACAAGGCCATTGTTTTCAGGATGCTGCTACTTGCAGTAGACTGATTGAGAATATGATTTGCATCATACCTTTAGATGAAGTGAAGATTTTGAGATATTCTTCTATTTGTAAAGTGTATTTTCTTTCATTTCCAATTATTCTAGGCATACTTTACAGTTTACCTTGCAGTTTTTATACAATTACCACCTCAAAATGGTAGAAAACCACACTATTGATTTTTTGCTAGAGAGGGGTTTGTGTGTGTGTGTGTGTGTGTGTGTGTGTGTGTGTGTGTTTGTGTGTTTGTATGTTTTTTGCAAAGAGAGCTTTGATGGTGACAGGATACTGACTGCTGATTTATGAGTATTAAGAATTAAGTCTATAGTCTGGTCTGACTTTTGGTGTAAAAGTTAAACTGACACAATGCTTAACATTGACACTAATCCACACTGTCATAATCAGATTGTTTGAATGGAATCATTTGGGAGCTGCTATCCATCTCAAGACTTTAGCACACAGGTTGGACTATAAATGCTAAATATAATCAATTCAAGGCTGTGTAAATAATACCTCTGGGGAAATAACTGGGTTTGCTTTAGATACAATAGGAGAATTGCAGTCGGTATCTCAGGCCAATTCACACAACCAATAAAAAGTTTCCATAGCTCACATCAGCAGGTTTCCATGTTTTTATATGCAGGAGTACCCCCTGCATATAGGGATGCAGAGGGATATAGAGCATCACATGAACTATTGAACACAAGGGAGTATAGTATGAATTAGGCCCAGGCCGGTAGATCATCTCCTTTATAAAAAAAAACCTTCATACAGGTGCAATAATATTGGCAAAAGTAAAGGTTTTATGGTTGGCTTACATATAATAACTAATAAATATCAAATTATGCTATCTGTTTTAATATAATTTTATTAGAAATTTTTAAATGAGTAAAAGAAAAAAGTACAGAAAATGAACTTGAAAAATAAAAGGTATACAAAACTTTAAAAAGAAAAAGCTATTTAAAGAAACAACTTCTGAACTTCTTTATAAGAGTTACAGATGTAGCATTGTGGAGTCAGTACTCCAGAGTCACTCTTTCATAATTCCACCCTGAGCTAGATATATTTTCTTCTATTGCAACTTAATATCACTCCTCTCCCTTTATTGGAAGAGATCCAGTCAAAACAAATAAGCTATGTGATCATTATCATAAACAATTCAGGGCTGAAACTGGAAGCACTGCAGTAGTACATTCTCATTTAGTTGTTTCATTATGATCTAAAATTAAAGAAAAATTAGATTCCCAACTCAGTTGTCCCTTTCCGTGGGCATACTAGTTCAAATTTGGATAACAATTACATTTTATTTCCAGAGTCTACTCTTACCAATCCTCTTATCAATGCCTACTTACCAATTTCTTCTTACCAATGCCTACTTCTTAGAATTGGTATATAGTACATTGTCAGCCATTCAAAACAAAACAAAACTCTTAAAAATGGGACTTGACATGCCGAAGGAAAACATATTTTAGCCTACATTTTTAGACCTACATTTATCATTCATACATGATACATACATTGGTGGCCATTCAAAACAAAACTGATTTCAGTGCATCATTTTTAAGGGAAAGAAAATTCACAAGATCCTATTCAAGTATCCAGCTCTGGATCCATACAGTGTGGTTCTACAATGAATTGTTAATATCATATTAAAATTTTCAGAAACCGTTATTATAACTAATCACTTATACTCCCTATTCACTGTGACATCATCTGAAAATGATATAGTTGTAGCCCATTCACTAATTTCAGCAAGATTATTCTGATTGTCCCCTAAAACTCCTATTCATTATGTTTTAATTTAGCCGAAGAAGTCTGCAAAGAAACGGGAGCTAATCCAGGCCAGCACAGCAGGAGAGGCAATTGAAAAAATGTTGGAACAGAAGAAGATTTCAAGTAAAATTAATTATAATGTGTTAAGGGACCTCAACAGCAAAGGAGGTAGCACACCAAAGAAAGATGATGATACCACCGATGACAGCACCAGCACCAAGAAGTTATCAAGGAGAAAGTCTCTTGTGAATCGGAATGTGGCCAATTCGGTAAACCCGGTGGGGAAAAGGTACCACAGTTATTTATTGAAATTTGCATTGTAGCCGGTACATCTAGAACTGATGGATTGTTAATGTTTCTTTGACATTGCAATAGTGTTCATTTTATTGTGTTATGTGAGCTAGAATGAATCTATAGGTCACATCAGCTGGCAGTATCAGCATGGATTAATCATCACAGCCTGGAGGAATCTACCAGAAATGCATAATTCAGCTGCCAGTGACTTCCTTGATAGAATTGTCAAATGTGTTATGCTAGTTCCTTTTTCCTAAATTATCAGGTTTTATATTAAATGGTATGGCAACCATGCTGAGATAGTGCATGTATGTATTCCTTTCCATGTTAATATGAAAAATAAGTAGTTATTATCTGTTGTGACATTTTGCAAGATTTGATTTAGTTCTTAGATATACTTTTAAACCAAATGCTGGTTGCTAATTACTGACTTGCACATAAAGCTTTTTAGTAAACATTGCTTGTATTTTCCTAAAATATGAGTGGAGGAAGATGCTGTTGTGCTAGCAGGAAAATAATTCCAATTTGGACATTTATTGCATTTGAAATATATGGGCATTACAGACAATTTGCACATTTCTTATTCTCGTCATATGTCTGCTGGCTATAAAACTAATATCTGCGATCTGAGTTGATTTTGTTCACTGCTCTTTCTCCCTGGCCATTGTGCAGTAGTCTTTAAAGAGACAAAGTTAATTAGCCTTGCAGGCTCATCCAGAGCATCTTAGTGATACCAGGTAAGTTTCCTAAAGAACATCTAGCCCCAATAAAGAATCAGTTGCTTTCTCTGTGGTTGATGTCTGCTCATCTGTCTCTGTTTCCCATCTCTATCAAAGCTAAACCTTTACTGACTTCCTCTTCAGGGCAGGGCTATTGAGTAAATTGATGCAAAGGGAGAGCATGATGCAAAATGACAGTTAAGGCTCTAAGGGGCAGAAGTTACTTCTGGCTTAGAATTTGTTCCAGTGCCAGGGTTCCATGATTCATCCAGCACCATCCAATTTCTGAATAACTGTCAGCAGCCCCAAATATGACCATGCATCATATTGCATTGTTGCAGATAATAATGTATAATCTAGCAGCACTGGTAGCAGCTGCTATCATCACTATTGTTTATTCTTTATAAACTGGCTTGAAACTTGTAGCTGAATGATAATTTAACTGTATTTACAATAACAAAATTATACAAAGTGCTTACACACCTTAATCTGCTTTCTGTAATAGAAACCTTACTTTCTACTTAAGTCCTGCTCCTATTATTTCTGGATTCTGCAACTGATTCTTCTTCCTGTTTACTAACTAAAGTCACATTTCCTTACAACCATAGTTATAGACAAACAACCTACCTCTTTTTGAAAGCATTTTTACCAAATCCCCTGTCACAAGAAATTTCGTATTACAATCAGAAATGGAATTGTTTTTTCCTTCCCTAATCAATGTTTTTCACCCACAAATAGCTTATTTCCAATGAATAAAATAGACTGTAAAAGCAATCCAGCTGCTGGGTCTTTCATATCTGAATTAGTGGTATGAGAGTTTGCTCAAAAATCTCCTATTAATTGTTGTTGCTCATATGGTGCTTTAAATCATAATTGATCTCTCCATAAAATGATCCACATTACTTGAGATACAAAATCTGTTCCAAGCATTAATCTCTGAATCTAGGACTTTTCTGTTTCAAGTCACTGTTGTCCATTGTCCATGAAATTTCTATGTCCATTTAACCTCAATAATGCTAGGTGTACCGCAAAAGGATTCTAAATCTTTGGCATTTTGGCATGTGATGCATTATTGCTAAAGGATAACAGAAAAAGTACACAAATATGAGGGTTTCATAAGCATATGGTTGTCAACCATTATGATGAAAAAAATAGTAATGAAAGGTGTATTGTGATTTAATTGGGGGAAAGTGTTGGCTTTTTTATACTTGCATCACAACATCAAACACATATGGAAGTCACAGATTTTGCAACATCCGTATGGATGTCTGTGGTAGTTTTATTTAAAATGCTAGGACAATGGGAGTCCCTCGGTGAAGGAGATGAGTGGTTTAAAAAATAGGTAGGTAGATAGGGGTAGGTGGGTGGGTGGACAAACGGACAGTTTTTTTAGTATTATGACATAATAAAACATATTCAGAGAGAACTTGGGAGTGCTTTTTTGCATCAGAATGTGCAATTAGCAGTGATAGCAAACAGTTTTTTTCAGAGAAACCTATATTGATGCATCAATGAAGACATCTGGAGTTAGCTTGTCTCAAAGGAGATTATATCTTTATAGTTCAGAGTTTAAATACTTGTTTATCAGTAAAGCTCTCCAAATTCAATCTCCAGCATCACCGATGGAAAAGATATTTTTGTAGTATGGTTAAGAAATATGTTTGCTTTAAAACCTGAACAGTCACTACCTGCCAAGAATGGACTATACTGAGTTGAACAAACCAGTTGTCTGATCTGACAGATGGCAGCACCATAGCATCATCATTGGAAAAGAGTGGATGCTTTTGCAATGAGGAAAAAGCTATTTCAAGTCTAAAGGTTATTTTGATTATCTTAGTATTAAAGATTTACAGCAGTCTTCTTTTTATTATTTTCCTCCATTATTGTAACAGCAATACCTTATGCATGATACTAATTCATTTCTTTGTTCAGCATTATTTCAAGATGTAATGCATAATTCCTTTGTTCAGATTTGTTCTTCTGAGGTGTTAATAGATAAATGCATTTTAGCCATATAATAATCACAGTAATTTATGTGCAATTAAGAATAAAACGTGCTCCACTTCTCATTTGACAGTGAAACTCCTTGTGTGTCTCCACCCAGAAATTGTTAGCACAGATAATTTGTAGTGATTAACAATCTTCTTGGATTTAGTTTAGATACCTTAAATGTTGAGTAATTTTTACATGGCAAAAGGAGATGGCTGTCAAATAGCCAACTCTAAGTTGCAGATAGTTTAACTAAAAGTCAAACCTTCTCCATTAGCTAATGTTGCAGATAAAAATTGCTATGTTTATATACAACAGTAGAAAACCAGAATTGTACTAATTCCTGACTTCCAGGAGGCATCAATCCTGCACAGAAGAGTAGCTAAATTAACCAGGAATTGAAAGTTTCCCAGGGTTTCCCAGTGAGATTTCTGGTTGCTGTTACCAAGCTGATTGGAATTCATGATTCAGAATTGAAGAAGCTTCTTGTATGAGACATGAAATGTCAAGGACAAGACAGTCCAGTTTCCTTTTGACAAAGCATCTCTGGGATGTCCAGAAACAATCCTGAGTTGTAATCCTGGCTAATTTAGCTATGAGAATACTGGATTTGGCTGAGAGAGTCAGTGACTAGACTCTCTAGCATACAACTTATCTATAGTAAGATAGGATTTTTTTTTGACATCTGTTTTATCATTACTGAAGTTAGTGACTCCTATGGTGATGCATAATTTGTAGGGCCTTACAGAATGAATTACTTTGATTCTAGTCTATCTAATGATTTCCCCCCTTCTCTTCCATTGTTAGTGTTAATAAGAGTTTAGCACTGTTTACATGGGGTAGCCATGGTTCTTAGCTTCCTTGACATCTACACATGAGTTTGAGAAGTTGCAGAAGAGAATTTGATAGACATAAAGCAAGATAAACATTTGTAATGGTAAATTCCAAATTATGCTTTAAGTGTGGTTGCTGAGGGCTGAATATTATTTTTAGGGAAAGTTGTTGAACTGCACCAATGCAACACTGCGTTGCCCAGTCCCAAATCCTTGCCATAGAAAGACTATAGAGAAATAGTGTGCTTTGAATTTCAGATTTGCTAGTAGATATAGAAAGTTAAGTGTAATTTGTATAATTTAACCTAACTGTCCTTGCTGCCACTATAGTCTCTCAGATTTAAATGGTACTGTGCAATATAATAATGAAATAATAAATGTTTTGGAAGCTATTTGCTGGTTTGGAAATATTTGTGGGATTTCAGAAAGGACATTTTAAGGATCAAGAAAACCTTTAATTCTAGTGTGTTATCTAATTATGTACAATATGATTGTTTTATCACAAGTGGGATGCAATTATCTGTTTATTTAAAAACGGCAAATGACGCGACATACTCTGGCAAAATACCAGATATGCCCATAAATGTGGGGATTAATAAAGAGAGATGTGCTTGTGTTTGGGGGAGGCGGAAAGGGGGGAAAGGAGAATATGTTTACGCAGATTCAATTCTCTGTACATGTGTTTTAATTATATTTTTTGCTGTATGTAATTGGAACCTGCCTAATAGAAAAAAGGTCAAATATAATTTTCACACAGAAAATGCTTTGCTTTAAGCATTTCCCTTCTACTGACTGTACAGTGCTTACTATAGCTAAACATCATCAATTCATTCCTCATTATTTTTATTTTTGTCTTAACTCTTACCCAGGTTGTGAAGCATGGGACATTGTTATTGGCCAAGTGTTATAAATATGTAGTTTAAAAGACATTTCTTTTATAAATGCGGCAAAATTAATATCTATTCCATGTTTAATTTTTCATGAGTTTTTCCAAGCTGATGGAAATAGACTGTGATGTCTAGTGAAACTTTTGCATATTATGCTTAAACTGAATTCCTTATTACATCGTTTCTGATCTGTTATATCAAATATATCTGTTAGCAAAGGATTATTGAAGTCCTTATCGTATAAAAAAGGTTTCACTATTTCATGTTACATAAAAATAGCAATATGTGAAGCTAGGCAATATTATAAAAGGAATAAATGTGTTGCGTTAATCTTGTCAAAATCTAGGAAGAAAAGAAATAGATTTGCAAAAGACACTGGGAGGTTTTACAACAGAAGCTTCTTTTTGTGTGTGCATTACAGGCTTTGAGAGGCTTCATGTGGGATCAGGAAATATTTTATTAGAAGACTGAATTTGAATATCAGGCTTATCGTAACATTGTTCTTGTTCTATTTATCAGAGATAAGTTTTAGAGATGGTTTTAGGGTACTACCCTGGACTCATTGAT